CAGAGGAGGCCTACGGACCAAAGGAACCAGGCCTCAAAATTGAGTGGAAAAACTGGAGAGAGGTGGGGGAGCAGGTGAGGATGAGAGCTGGCAGGCACTGAGTTCTTTGCAGCCAAAGGGGGGCAAAATCAGCATGGAGTTTCCAGGACGACTACTAGCATTGAGGTTGCATATCATGTGTTTTGAACTTTTTTCTTTCTCTTTCTTTGCTGCTTTTCCAATTGTTTCCCATTTTTCCTACCCTTTGAACTCTCAGCAAATACACAAGTCTCCATTGTATGAAATAACTTTTTCCTCACATTAGTTTAGTTTTGAGCTGGAAGCTGTTTTATGGGAAAAAGCTTGGAACAGGATTTATCCAAAATGACTCACTTGTTTGTGTCACATAGCAAAGCTAGTGACAAAGGGGGGATTGTTTCTCAGTAGCTTGAATTTACATGTCTAAGCAGACCTGGAGATGGGTTCAAGCTACTGAACTAAAGTGTCAATACAGGCAATTAGAAATATTGTAATCTCATTGTTACTGTGTGATTGACTGACATTTCTTTATCTGTTCTGTATGTGATGACCTCAGAATCTTATTGTAATCTCTGCATTCTGTCATCAATTGGCCTGTACCTATAAAATACCCTGCAATGATATTGAAGTTTTGCAGCAGAGTTCACTCTGCCTGCCCGGTAATGCATTATCATGAGTATGGACCTGCGGGGAACCTGGGTAATACAATAAAGCCTCAGATGGTCTGGGCGCTTGGTCTTTCCCACGAACCCAAGTTTTATTCCCTCTTCTCAAATTGGGATTCCGGGATTCTGACAGCACACACATCCCCAACCGAACAGCTCCAGTTCCACCCATTACCCCCCTTCCTCAAATCTTTGTGTTGTGGCACAGCCACAAGATGGTATACCAGAATTCAGAACACATTCCCCTTCCACTTCCACACAACTCCTGGTAGCCAACACAAACAATTCTTGCATGCCCACAATACCGCTTCTGGAAGGTTTCCCTCCCTTAAAAAAATCCCCCCCCCCACGCAGCCTCCCCATTGAGAATGCTCAAGGATCCTTTGTTTCAACCCAATCCCTTCCCATGCAGAATTTTTCCTGAGGCAATACAGGCTTTGAACACTGAAAAGAACCTCCAATTTCTCACCTCAGTTGCGTTACCTTACTGTTCCCCTCCCTTTAAGATTTAAACACTCTAACATTTTCTTTTAGAGTTTTCTAGATACCCCAGGTCCCATCCAGAGAACCAGTGCAAGCCTGCCCCCAATTTGCTCCCCGTGCAGCACTCACAAAATGGTGGTACCTTCCGCCAGAGCATTCCCCTTTCTTGGCTGTGTGGGGATGGCCAAGCCCAGAGGTACAAGAAGTCCATAACTTCCAGCACACATTTCCCTGAATTCAGTTGGCCAGACCAAATCCAGAAAAAGCTGCTGTTGCTGTCCCTTAAATAATGGAGTTCTCTTCAGCAAATGAGGTACACCAACCCCCTCTTTTTCATTTGCTTTTTCCTTCTTTTCTTTAACCAAAGGAAAAGTGTGAACCATGGTACCAGCAGGGGTTTGAACTCGATGGCCTTCATGGCCCCTCCCAACACCTCCATTTTGTGCTTCCATGAGAAACCTTAGCAGTTTCATTCTTTACACGTTTTTTCTTCCATTTTGTACCAAAGCACTCAGTCACCATTTATCCAAAACTCTTAAAAAGCCCACTTACACACCAAGCTCCATGCCCCGCTCTTAAAGCAAGGAGTTCCTGCAAAATATATCACCTCACATACTCGCATCCTCACATGGCTTCCAGCACAATTTTCCTTTTGCCCTTTATGCCCCACATACCAAACAATTGCATGTCCAACAGGTAGAGAAACCAAATCAGCCCAGAGAAAACCAAGAACATATTTACTACCTGCCTGACAAGGTGGACTTCCTACAGGAGCCCTTATGTGAGAGGGAAACTGCAAGGCCCAAGCCCACAGGGCCTGCAACCCCCGCTCCCCTTTCGCTGCCTCCATGTGCAATCTTCACTTGTTGGACTCCAGCCTGCCACTGTTCAGGCTGCTTGCTAAACACAGCCATCCAATTTCCACTATTTTTCCAAAAACCTCCTCAACACTGTCAGAATCCCAGAATCTCAATTTGAGAAGAGGAAATAAAACTCGGGGTCGTAGGAAAGATCAATCGTTATGAACCACCGCATCTTTATTGTCTATCCCAGGTTCCCACGGTTGACTCAGGATAATGCATTAGTGGGCTAGCAGAGATGAACTCGCTGCAAAGCTTCAATACCATTACAGGGCATTTATAGGTACACAGGTGCAGGGCAATTGATGACAGAATGCAGATTACAATAAGATTCTGAGGTCACCACATAAAGAGCAGATAAAGAAATGTCAGTCAATCACACAGTAACAATGAGATTAGTATTGACACTTTGAGTATTTATTTATTTATTTATTTAAAACGTTTCTATGCCGCCCCATTTGCCGAAGCCTCGTGGTAGCTCACAACATAAATTAAAATATAATACATTAAAAATATAAAACAAGTCACCCTGGCCAACTTGAACCCATCTCCAGGTCTGCTCAGACATGCAAATTCAAGTCACTAGAAACTATTCATGATAAGCTCAGACCCTTATCTCGACTCTAAACATTCTGCATGATCAGGGCACATGAAGCCCTCTGGGCTATCAAAAGATTATTGTAAACTGAATTCCAACAATGACTATTTACAATGGATATTTGGGCTAAAATGGCCTACTCTGGCCTACAGCTAAAGGTGAGAGAAAGGAGCGGGGAGTGCCATTTTAAACAGTGACAGCTTCGTTTTGAGAAGGAAGACAGGATTTGATCCCACAATGCAAAGGCACACATGAGTAATGCTTTTCAGACAGGATTTACCCAAATTTTCCCAACAACACATAAAAGAAAACCCTTCCCTTCTGTATTTTTGCTTCAGTTTTCCTTCCTTTTTTCTTCATTTCTTTCTCTGGGAATCCCTTCAGGATGAGCAGGATTCCCCCCTCCCTTTTCTTTCCTTGCCACAATCCATCTGCTCACTTGCCTCTACTTTCACTTGCAACATTTCCTACAAAATCCCAATCTAAACCATGAAATTACAACCCCCTTTCACTAGCGCAAAACCACAGCACACAGTGCTTTCCCTTTGCACATGTTTCCTCCTGAACAAATCCTCTTCCTTCTTCCTACCATGCCTTCCTTCACAAACTGATACTCCAGCAATATTTGATAGGCTGGATTTCCTGAATTCATTTCCCCTTTAGCCTCTCCAGCGCCTCAGATGCAGTTTTCACCTTTCTTGGTCCAAAGTACACTTCTTAATTATAGTTCCTTCTCCAAAAACAATCTGCTAACCTCACCTCAACTGTACAACCAGAGAGTTTGAGTAGTTCTTTCCTGAAAGGCCCCACACTTTAGGCCCAATCAGCAAGAACTCCCTATGAACCATGACTAACAACAGCAACAATTATATCCCCCCCACCTTTTTTTTTTAGGCGGGATTTCCATTCACACACACATACAAATACACAGTAGTTTTCCATTTTTCCTTTTCCAGCCACCCCAACCCAAAAGCTATCCCAGAACCTTAAAATCCTCCCCAGGAACTTTCAAGGAAAGCATTTTTCCTTGGCCCCTTTACCCCTATGGAAACAGAACGGGTCAGGAAGGGCCTCCTGGGCCAGCCAGCCTGCCCACTCCCCTTTTTGAATATTTTACTCCCCATTCCCGGGTGAGAAATAAATAATAATAAATAAATAATTCCTTACCTAAACTTAGATGCATCTCATCAGGTTTACTCTACCTGAGTAAACCCCCTTTTGAACCCCTCCTGAGGTTCTAGAATTCTCTGCTGCCAGATTTTCAATTAGTCTCGGGCCTCTGATCACCCTCGTTTCGGTCTGAGACTCACTTGCAGGACTGCTGCAATCCACGGCAGGGTACCCTCTCACAGAAACTCACTGATCTGAGCCAACAACGGATTTAGGAGATGTCCCGGACAGAGCCCCCAAATTGTTATGATCACTCTTTTCCATCAGAAGAGAAAAATATTCCAAGCATGCAGAGAGTTCTTTTTAAAACTTCATTGCAATGAAGGGAACAGAAACAAATAGTTTCCTTCCCATTTTCCTGTTCACCTGAGCACATGTTCGCATCTCATTTTATATGCCCTGCCCCCCCTTCTCCCTCCTCTTTTCCTCTTATTGGCTAATAGGGTACTGAGAGTTTACACTCTTTCCACCCGCTGATTCCGCGCTGCCCCCACACCAGCCCTTCTTCCCAGTCCAGCCCTGCCCTCAGTGGGCTACAATAAGCTCATTTTGTTCTGCCCAGCTTGTCAATAAACAATCAGGAAGTATTTGGCCCTCCTGCCTATGTGGCTGTTTCCCCACACCTTGTGTTATCTGATCTTAGCCCCTCCTCTCCTTTGGGCTAAGTAATTTTGTTACCTTTTTAGCCTTTCTACTCCCTTGTTTCATATCATCCTTTCACACCTATCACTTCTTATTCACTTTTCTCTATGATAGACTTTGACCAAAGTGCTGGCTTGTAAATTGTCAATAGAAACGTGCAACTCCTAGTAGGATGGTGTGGATGGTACAAGTGGATTGCTTATGCCCTAGTGTTGTTGGACTGTGCCATGGGTTGGGGGTTCCTTCCTAGAATACTGAAGAGTGGGGACTTGTCAACTGTGGGATGATACAATCAGCAGTCTGATGTAATAGGAGTTCCACTACTCTGATTTTCTAGAGAAGCTTCAGAAACTTTTTAATGCACTTCCTGGTATTATTAAGGAGAGAACTTCTATTGCCCCATAACTATTCTAACAGGGAGCTAGTGGAGGTAGTACTAACCCAACTGCATGGCTGAGAAGTGTGTGGGAGTTTCAACTGACTCCTGTCATTTTGTCTAAGGAAACGAGACAGTTCCTTTAAAGCACAAGTCCCATTTTAGAAATTTACAGCACCATAAAATGTGTAGGTGTTAACTACATTTTAAATGAGGGCTGAATTAGTAAGTATGTAATTTAAATATGGTAGTAATTTAAGCTGTCTGCCTGCCTTCCTTCCTTCCTTCCTTTCTCATGCAGATACTTACAGTCAAGAAAGTATAGGTCACTGTTTTGTATACCTCATTAGTTCAGGCCTTCTCATTCCCAACACATTTGCAAATAAGTATATGTTCTACACAGCAAGAATAAAAAATGATTGCAGGTGGACAGGGTCTATGCAGTAGATTAGGATCCGAACAATTTGCTCTCCAGCCTCAAGTTGTATGCACTATACACAACTGAAGGGCCAGTGGTCATAGTTTTATTCCCCTAGCATTTGGGGAATATAACATCATCTCCTCTTTCATGCTGGATCAGATCTCATATACTTTGATCTACCAAGGTATCAAGTATTTGGTAGACTAGTAAGAAGTTCCTGCTGTCTGGGTACTTGTAGGCCATTGTTCATTGTGTTTACAAGGGCTCTTCAGCGTAGCAGTGATCTTATGCATATCTTACCTCTAGTTTAGCTTACTCCTGCTTTACTTATTTCCTGCATTTAAAAGTTGGACATGTGTGTGTGTGTTTTGAGGAGTTTCATTTCCACCAAGTGTGTGCAGATTTGAATGTCCATACCAAGGGGAAGGAAATGAAGCTGTGGCCTTCCTTGCTTCCCTTTCTCTTCGCAAAGCAGGGACCTTTGCTTTGCTGAGAAAGGGGAGACGGCTGAGTCTTGGTTTCTTGGCAAATGTAGATTTCATTTCAAGGAACTGCAGAAACAGCATCGGCCCATCCTTGAAGAGTATACTTACACTATTGTCCTGTTAATTTATATTTCCTAAATAAAAGGGTTTTAAGTCATCCTGTAAGGCTGCATTGTTGTGTTCCAGTGGGATAGCCCGAAGTCAGTAATACAGGAGATGGTGCAGCATCTCTGTAATTCAGTTATTCTTCACAGCCAGACATGACAGTGGTAGACACGGGTTTCCACAAAGTGGAAAGAAAGAAGAATCTTTCTTAAACAATGAAGAGGAAAAGACCCTGAACCATCTCTGCTCCATTACTTTATCTCCCTGTAGGCAGTAAAGGAGAAAGGGATCGGGAATAATCTGGCAGAAGTGTGTTAGTATCCCCCTTTTAATTGAACCCATATGCCACTGTACTTCCCACGAAAGTCATCTTGGTGATGGAGATTCTTCTCACTCACTATTTGTGAGCTCACTAACAAGCAGCTTGATCAAATCAGATTGTTCACAGGCTGAGATCCTTGCCCACTTACTTAAAAGTTAGTGGGCACAGGATCTCAACCTTAAACATAGAATGGAGTGAGGTGTGTAAAGAAATAATTTGATATTATTGCCTGGCTGGCAGGCACATGAGAAATATAACAGGAAAAAAATGCAATGAGAAACCGAATCGCATATAGTCTTCCTGGTTCTACTCAACCCAATCTTATGCATGTTTATGCAGAAGTATTCTCCTGGGTTCCTTGTGATTTACTCTTGGATAAGTATGTGTAACATTGTGTCATTAATCACAAATCTTTGTACCCTTCTTTCTCTTGAAAATTCAGTGGGGATAGAGATACCAGGAAAGGATGGGGATGGGGAATGAAACAGAAAGTTACTACAACAGCATCAGTAAAATACTTTAAAATACCATAAGTAGGGGTGTTGCCAAGTGGACTGCATCCAGTGTAGAGACTTAAGAATGTGAATGTGAAAAGCATCATTTTGGAATGGTGGAAGCATAATTAAAGAAACCTTTACTGCTTTAAAATAAACATGTTTCAGGCTGGGCTTATTGATGATAAAGGAAAGCATTAAAAGATTGTTCTACACACTTTCTTGTCATGAAGAAATAGAACTAAGATACCTTTCACTGAGGAGGTAGAAAAGCTGAAGCATACTAGTAAGCTTAAAACGCATGTATCCTAGATTTGATGCTCATAACATTTTCAGACTGCTCCTAAGCATTTTTTACTGAGATATTCATCTAATAAAGCTTGGTTGGACTTCCATCCAGGTAAGTGCATTTGAGACGGTTGTTGTGGATGAAACTGTAGAAGTTATGGGATGCTCTAGGGAGAACAGAATCTGCCAAAGAAGAGGATGTATTTTGTTTTGTTATGCCTGATAAAGAAGAGAAAGGGATGGTCTGCATCTATTTTTATGGGCTGGCGTCTAACTACAACTACAACTCCAGTGGAACCTGTAGCCTCAGTACCCTCCTCATTGATTTCCACAAAAGCCTTGTGATAGATCTCTGACACATACAAGCCCTTGTTCTTCGACATTCCCGTGAAGTCAGCTAGAGAATCATCAAAGGCATCTGTCATTCCCAGGCTGACTAGGGTGGACCTGAGGTCATACTTCTCTTCCAGTTTGATTCTAGGTAAGTGAACCTCCACTTCTTCTTGCTTCATCCTTTCTGGATTGGTCCATGTTGATAATCTCTCATAGGTCAGTTCTTCTTCCAGCTGTAGTTAGATAACAAAGCAAGTTAGCTAGATCTAAGTTTTAATAGAGGGGAAGCAGAGTGATCAGCCTGCCTGGAGAAGGCTATCCTCCAAAAGCAGTGACTGAATAAGGAGGATATTAGTCAGGGAACTGACCAAAGGCCAGTGGTAACTCTAAAGGAGGTGGGTAGACCAACAGCAGGGATGGGAGCTATTGGCTATTCCTTGAGGCAGCCATCACAAAGCTGAGCTTTACGGAAGAGTGGCAAGAAGAAAACCATTGCTGAACCATACTAAACCCTGTGTAGGGTTTACAAAAAGGCATGTGGGTGAGATGGCAAATGTGGAAAAAGTTCCTCTAGTCTGGATGAAAGTTGGACTTTTTGATCTTGCTGCAAAAGGTATGCATGGTGCAAAGCAAACAATGCTCATGTCCTGGCAAACGCCGTCCGCCATGGTGAAACGCTGTGTCAGCAACATGTTGTGGGGCTGGAAAACTGGTCAGGATTGAGGGCAAGATGGAGGGCACAAAATCCAGACCAATTCTAGAGGAAAGCCTGTTTCAGTCTGCAAGGGACCTGAGATAGGGCAGAGATAGCCTGTAGCTCTAAACACACCGCCAAAATGATACCAAGGTAGTTCAAAACCAAAACCTTGAATGCCCCAGAATGTTCCAGACTGCAATCCAACTGAGTTAACAGTTGGTTAAAAGTTGCTGTTCACCTGTAGTTGCTATCCAAGCGGACAGGAAGAATGAACAAACAGCAGGGTGATGAAAGAGGAAGGCATGTGTATGAAAGGAGAACCAATGACATGGAGTGAAAAGGGAGTCTGAACTGCCTAAGGAAGGCCTTTTATTTTTTGCCCAGAATATTTCAGAAAAGCAGCTTTCCTTCCTTGGGGGCTGCAATGAATATACAAACATATAGCATTTATTTGGTGCTACTCCCAATCATCTAAAAACAAAGAGCTATACAATTATGCAGATTCTGTGGATTGTGCCTTTCTTTATAAAGCTAATTGCTAAAATACTTAAATATTATAATCAATATAGTAGTGCTTATATTGAAGTTCAGTTTGGATTAAGATCATTTTAATTTATTTTAAGATGTTAATCCAAAAAGAACTTCAACTGTTGCTGCTGAAGAGCTTCTACCAAGTATTGAGACAGGGTGTGTGTGTGAATACTTATGCAAGCAGTAAATTCCACTTCGTTATTCTTCACTTTTGTGCTACAAAAAAATATTTCATACCTTGACCGTACTGTATATTTTGTGTCTGTCAAGTGGTAACAATGCCAATTCCATTAGTCGCTCGCTCGCTCGCGCTCTCTCTCTCTCTCTCTCTCTCTCTCTCTCTCTCTCTCTCTTTGTGTGTGTGTGTGTGTGTGTGTGTGTGAGAGAGAGAGAGAGAGAGAGAGAGAGAATGCTTTTGCAAGGCACAGTGTAACAGATTGCAAATACACATTTTATAGCAGTTTTCTCTAGCAGTCACTTCTAGTATAGTCCTACAAATGTTTGAACAGATGTAATTCAATTACTCTTCTAAGACTGTTATGTTAAATTCTCTTTCCCAACCTTATTTCCCATGATAGAACATTACTGAATATGTATGAAAAATGAAATTGTCAGAGTATCATACTTGCTTATGGCTTATTGGGCTCCCAGTCAAATGGGAAAGCAAAGACTGCAGTTGATTCATTTTCCTCTGGTTATATTAATGGAATAAAATGTCTTCTAACAACCTCCTAGAAATCTGAAATGAATTTTGTTACCAGTTTCAAGCCAGTAGAGTCATCCATGATGTCTTCTGGAAGCAAGATGAACATGCTGAGTTCATTGTTCACATATGGGAGCTCGAGAATATGGACTTTCAGGGTGTCAACGTAGAAAATTGGAAATTTATCCTTGAGAAACATCATTTGCACTGGCTTTGATTGACTCTGGAATCATGTTTTTAAAAGACACATTATTCCTTTTCCAACTGAGATGATCCCACTATTTAGGCTTGGCAAAAGAAGACCATATAAAAGTTTTACTTGTTGAAGCTATGTATATGGACTTTCTCTTTCAACCACTCCTATGTGTGGAAGAATAAGGGGCCAAGGCTTGCACATCGCTCAGGTGTGACCTCCAGGGTCTGTGATGAGAAAGTGAGCAAGGTAGGAACTGCAGCCTGTTCCAAATATGTACAATTGGACATGCGGTTGTCTATTAAGTCAGAGAGAGCTAGTAGGAGTGTAGATTGGTTAAATTAAAGCAAGCTGAGCAGTGTTGTTTAGAATAACAACACTGTTATATTATTAGAAGTTTATTAGAAGCCGATTTTCATCTCTTTTATGGTTTAATCCCATTTCCTTCCTTTTATTTACTTTCCTTCGGGATACTTGCATTTACAATATTATTATGAAGAACTTCCTAAGCCACTCTGGGTTCCTTGCAAGGGGAAACAAGGTAGCATATAAATGTAATAATAGGTTCACTTCTTTATTAAAGGTGCATCACAAATATGAGTGCTAACTAAGATGAACTTTGCTCTGCCAAATTAAAGCAGAAGTTGTTGCAATAGCTGTTTGACAAATAAAAGATCAGCTTTGCAAGAGATCAGCTCCCAACCAAGATCAAGAAGAACAAAAACAGAACCACCAACGTCTTAAATCTCCCGCTTAACAATACTTAGGGGTTTTCCTTCCGACATGCCTTTTGACATTATGTATAGGCTCATTAATAATTTCTACAATGAATTGTTAGTGAAATAGGTTGATGTCAAAGAAAGGCACAATGAAAAGCAAATTATGCACATACCTTACTCAATCTGAAAAGCTTCTCAGCAGTGTTTTCTTTCTGAAAACTTTTTTTCCACTTTCCTTTGAAGTAAATGGCATTTATTACAACCAATATAGTATTGTAGTCCAACGAACCTTGAGGCAATAGGTCCTTGATTTTATCTTTTGGAAAAAAGAAGACTGTTATTAATATATTTGAAGACTGATAGTCCACTGGAGGAGTACAACTAATCTATGGTGTTATAAAGAACAGCCTCTACTTATATCATTGGCCATCGAGCCTAAGACCCTCCCTGGACTAGGAGAGGCTCTCCAGGGCTCCTTTTGAATTGAAGATGCCATGCCGTCCCTCCACAGGCTTTGACCTGGTGCTCCAGACGCTAGAAGGGGAAAGTGTTTTCTGGCACTTGCTTGTTCCAAAGCCATCCATTAACCAACTAATTTACCTCTGTGACCAGCACTTGGGACTGTAAAAAGAGGACACATCTAGTGGACAAATTATTAAGCTGCTACATGGAGACACAAAAAAGTCCATATGAATTTCTAAACCTTCATAGATATGGACAGTGCTTTGTACCCAAAGGACCATCCCTTGCACATTCTCAAAACAGCAAAACACACTCCTGGTTCACTCCTTCATTTTTTTCAGGCCAGCTTATTGCGATTTCAGACCACGGTCAGGTTTATTAACTGCATATAAGCCACACTGTGAACCCATGGCTTGTTATTGGAATGTTCAGGGTGACAGGCTGTCAGGAGGGCTTGTCTTGACATCCATATCCAGGACCATGGCTTGTGCATGGCTTGTTGGAAAGAGCTACAGAGCAAGAATGGTAAAGAACTTGGTTGCTCCTAATAATCTCATTAATAATATGTTATCTTTGTTATGTTTTGAAATGACACTACTCAATTCACTCCTGTACTCTGATGCTCCTCTAGAAAGCAGCATTTTTGCCTACCTTCAGGAAGATTTGCATATTTTTTTTTTACCCATCCTTTGGAAGAGTTATGTAAATTCATCTTGTAAAAAAATTGGGAGGAGATTTACACAAGTTAGTGAAAGCACAGTAATTTCTGCACTTTAGAGAATTTGTGCAAACCTACCCAAAAGTTGGGAAAGCAAAGTAAATAGGTGAAAGGGCTTCTGAAGGGGGCAGGGGAAGGAAATCCTGTTTGATAAACTCTACTCATTTGCACTCATTAGCAGGGTAGGCTGCTAAAGATGTGCCTCAAAGGCCTATGGGGTAAGTGCTGGGAGCAGGAGGTTGGACCAAGGGGGAAACAAGCCACTGCAAGCTGAGACACCTGGCTGTCCATTGGGAGTAAAGTGGCTTAGCAACTGAAATAACTAACCCACCACAAATCTCAAGGCAGATCAGTAAAATTAAGTGGAAAATTCTGCAAACCTCAGGGCAAAGCAATACAGCCAAGGGAAAAACTATACACATTTCCTAGCAGTGGACATTCACTCCCATTGCACTTGTGCAGGACCATTTAAGAATTGCAAAAACGCTCAGGCTGATTGTTAGGCGGGAGCAGAGGGCATGGAGAAGGAATGAGGGAAGATGTCACTGGCACTAGCCGTGATTGTAGAGAACACCAAACAGTTCTCTGGCTATTCCTGTGAACTCAATGAACTCGGCCTGGTGGGGCCTGATGTTGGCTTCCTGGTGGCTTCCCAGCAACAAGCCACCAACAGCAAGCTGACCTACGGTGACAGCCTGGTTCACAGAACTTGGGTTGTCATGTCATCTGCACTAAAGCATGTCTGATTTGACCCTCAGCAGTCTGACCTAGGGATTCAACACTGGTTTTGACAGTGGGGCAGGCCTGGTCCTGAAGGAAAAAATGATTGATTTGTTGGACAAGGGAAAGTTGATTGGGTGGTCCAAGACCCACAGCAGTTTTAAGAGGTCTGCAGAAAATATACAGTTTGAATCTGAAACAGCTGAATGCATTAGCTTACTCTCTGTTTGTCCTTGGACCCAAGAGTTGATCTCACGTCTTACTTGTTCACTAAAATCAACTGGCTGCAGCTCTGCATGATAGTATTTCTTAGTAAGCTGCAGATATTCCTGAATGGAAGATGCAAGGGCAAGGTTATATGCATACACACGCATGCACGCACACAAACATGCTCATAAACAAAGAATAATATAGGAAGATCCTGCAAAGTGCTTCTGGGGTGCAGGGAGCAGGCATGCCTGACAGTGTAGGCTAGTGGGACAACTTCTTGGAGCTGATCACAGAACCTGGAGAAAGTGGAGCTTCCCATTGTGTAAGCGACACACAGGTTGGGATTCTTGCTTTTGCCCATGCACAGTGCAATTTCATTGTTAATGTATTAATTCTTTTACAAAATTCAAAATATAGCTCAACTAGCTTAGGGCACGGTTCTTTCTATGCTGGCTACCAAGGGTCAGCGCTGGGTGCCGGATCTCCAACTCCTCTCTCTAAGGTTGGTGTGTGGAGGGGGAATGCCCAGCATCCTGTGGCACTGTAGACAGCATTAATGTTTTTAACAATCTATAAATAGTATGAATTATGATAGCTTTTGTGAAATACTCTCGAGAGCTTTTGTAAATGTGCTAAGGATGCAAACCACAAATTTCAGAGATTTGAGCAACTGTATCTAGGGGTGGACAAATTCTGGCCCTCCACTTCAGTCCAAGGCAGTGTAGCCAGTGGCAAGGTATGATGGAAATTGGGAATTGTGATCCATGATGGGAATTGTGATCCAACAACATATGAAGGGCCAACATCCTCCAACTCAGCATTACTCTTTGCAACAGTTTCACTTTTGTTTAGTATTAATTACTTAATTATACGCTTCTTGGAGGTAAGGCCTATAGTCATACTAAAAATAGCTTTCATACTAAGCATTACAACTTTGTACACTCTACTTACATCAATGAAGTTGAATGTTTTCTTTCCATAGAGTCTGTTTGCAGTTTTCAGCGTGTAGGCGCTCGTGGGTTGGTTGATTTCAGTAATCAGTTCCTGGAATGCACTGTGGATGCTTTCCCCTCCAGCAAGATGTCCTTCCTTGACAGGGAAACACCATTGCACAGGAAAATCTCAGCTGCCTCTGTGTGGGTGTGCATGTGTGCGCATGTGCAAGTGTGTTTGTTTGCATGCATATATATAGATTCAAGCCATTATTAGCATTAGCAATGTTAATAGAGGAAAAAATAGAAAAATTGCAAAACAAATAGTTTCTTTCCATGGCACACTGGAAAGCATGGGTTTAATTTAGGACAGGGGTTCTCAGGCATGCTGCACCATACGGATCAATACCCCTGTTGAACAGGCAAGAAAGGGAGGGTACAGGGGCTGCCCACATGCCACCCTCCTTGGTATACCTGCTTGAGTCATTGGGCTGCCATTTGGCTAGTCCTGAGAGACAGAGGCAGTCCAGGAGGTTCTTTGCAACAGCTGATCAAATACAGCAATGAAATAATAGTGCAGGAGAAGAATTCCAAATGCTTCAAGATAAGCAGCAGCCCACAAATGCCTAGCATTTAAAAATTAATTTTATTGTAAATTTGAAAAATTCAAAACAAATAAAAAAAGCATTGCAGAGTTTGTTTTTACATTAGATTTAAATGAATCTATTATAATGAATGCATGTATATTAGGTACTCCCGTATCCTTTATGTATAGCCAATTGCATTGTTATTGTGGGGAACAATTATGCATAGACCTCAACTAAGGCTGCCCAGATATCCATGTATTTGTCCATTTGCAAACTATGCCCAAGAGGCACCTGCTCAGCAATTGAAATGATTGTCAGTGTAATCTGTTGTATTCCTGTTTACCCCTTCTTCCCTCCCCCCCCCCCCCCCCCACCCCCCCCCCCCCCGCCGCCTTTCAGCTCTGATATGAGATTATACTACCTCTGAGGAATGTACAGTTCCTTCTGGGTTATCGAAATGAAGTAACTGTAAATAGATTTTAAAAGATAAAAACAAAATCATTATTAGTGACCCAATAATTAAAATACTTATTTAGTGTTCAAGATAATGCTTATCTAAAATGCTTACTTAGCAGATATTACTTTTACTATTGTTATTGCTACATTTATACACCACCTTTCTTCCTCTTTCAAGGAAGTGAGGGTGGTTTGCAAGGTTCTCCTCCAAGATGTATGCTATCTTGTCTTCTGTACCAAAACCTCTTACAAAAAGTGCAACTGAACTGGCTATTATAGCCGTGTTTCTGTGGGCCAGTTCATACATGCAGATTTAAAAGATGTATGTGTCACAGGTAGAAGTTGGTTTGTCCTTACAATGTGGCATTATTAGTCCTTTCCTTTCAAAAGGGTGCAGCAAATCCATATACATTGACCTTGAGTTAAGTTCCAAGAAGTAGGTAGATAAATAATTATGAAGAACATCCGTATCTATAAATATTGAATAACTCTCCACCACAAAGTTTATCTGTATGCTAAACACATAGGAAGAGCTGTGGTGGATCAGGCCAGGCTCCATCTGGTCCAGCATTCTGTTTGCACAGTGTCCCTAGCTGCTGGTAGGAAGCCCAAAGGACCTTTATGGAGGTCCTGTGCAAGCATGCATAGCATTTTCTTGCATTACACGATAACCCAGATGAAGTATTGAAATGTGTGATGATCATCATATTGAAGAACCTACCTTGCCAATCTGGCTACTGGTGTTATTTCTTGCTCCCATATAGATCATGGACAGAGCAACAGAGTTACTGAAGGAAGAAAAGAATATATTTTTCCCTGCAGATGACTGACCCAGCTTTTTGAATAGATCCATGACAAAGTTGCCAGTGGCTACGGAGATGGATTCCATTGCTCACACCTATGACAAATATGATAGGCAGGTTTATGATAATAGGCTTTTCAAATATGAAGCTTTTTTCCCTCCACTTTTGTAGTGCTTCTGCTTTCACCTTCTTTGTGGAATTAAGATTGGGGGCTGTACATGTGTCAGTTTCCTGGGGGGGGGGGGTGTTCTGTATGCAACAAAGAGGTGGCCCTGTGATATAGTAGCACTGAGCAAATACAGAGATTCACAGAATCACAGAAGAGTAGAGCTGGAAGGGGCCAGAAGGCCATCAAGTCCAACCCTCTGCTGTTGCAGGACACTAAGTTACACCATCCCATTCAGATTCTGGACTTCCTCTTTGTGACAACCTTGCATGTGCTTGATGAGTGCTATAATATCTCCCTGTTGTGTTACTCTTCAAGGAAATATCAGACTTTCTTCATTAAACACATACACACAACTTGCACATTCACACGCATGCACTATAATGCTTACAAAACTGGGAGAAGTCCAGAATGCAGGAATCATCCGCACGCAATAAATGCAGGAAGGCTTAACGTCTCTACAAGAGCAGCAGACAGTGAACGGAGTTTCTGATCTGATACTGATAACGTAGTCTCAAAATAACACTTTTAAACTGTTGACTCCTGCACACTTTGTGGGAGTGGAGAAACGCATTGTCTCATTCACAATGATTTACAGAAAGAAGTACATTTTTCACTGAAGATGCAGAGCGGACGAGGGAGTGAACTCACCAAACTCAGTTCAACACACTGCTGAGTGGATATTTTGTTGATCATGCTGCACTGGTGGGACTTAGGCATGCATAACTAGCACCAGACTCCTAACCATGCAGCCTCATAAATCCCACTGAGATTGATGGATTTGTTCTCGCACAGGTAGGCATTCAATTTTGGTTTTAATGCATGCTAAGAAGGAAGGAAACCCACCCTGGTTCTGTGGTCCTTCCTCCATAATAATCTTGTCTAGAGTTGCAGGCCCAATGAAGTGCTCTGCACTGGCAATTTGCAAAGTTACCCTTTAGCGGAAAACAACGAACAGTGCCTTGCAGATGTATCCCCCCTACCCTGCAAGTTTTCCATATTTCGTTTTGCTGCAACGTGGAGCTGAATTGTTACGACTGGATGTACACAAGATCATCAGCACTGCAAAATATTTTTATCATGGCGCTAATGTAAAGTAAGCCACAGCAACAACATTCTAGTCATGTCTACTCAGAAGTAAGCCCTCATACAACCGTTTTCAGGCATGCAAACCACAACTCAATGCAGGTTTAAATACCAGACTTCAAAAATTATTCTCCTAGCAGCACTGGGACAAGGAGGATGGGGTTTTCATCAGGGATATGCTGGGAAGAAGAGTCTTACCTGCAATCAGTAGCATGTTATGTTATATTGTGTTAGTCGCGAAGTTGTGTCCGACCCATCCCAACCCTATGGACCACATTCCACCAGGCCTTCCTGTCCTCCACTTTCCCCCAGAGTCCACCTAAGCTCATGTGGACTGCTTCAGTGACTCCATCTAGCCACCTCATCCTCTGCCGTCCCCTTCTCCTTTTGTCGTCAATTGTTCCCAGCATTAGGGTCTCCTCCATTGAGTCCTTCCTTCTCATTGCGTGGCCAAAGTATTTGAGTTTCATCTTCAGTATCTGACCTTCTAAAGAGCAGTCAGAGTTGATCTCCTCTAGGACTGACCGGTTTGATCACCTTGCAGTCCAAGGAACTCACAGGTGTCTTCTCCAGCACCACAATTCAAAGACGTCAGTTCTTCAGTGCTCAGCCTTCCTTATGGTCCAGCTTTCACAGCCATACATTGCAACTGGGAAAACCATAGCCTTGACTATGCGAACTTTTGTTGGAAGCCTGATGTCTCTGCTTTTCAGTATGCTGTCTAGATTTGCCATAGCTTTCCTCCCAAGGAGCAAGCATCTTTTAATTTCTTGGCTGCAGTCACCATCAGAAAAATAAAATCTGTCACTACCTCCATTTCTTCCCCATCTATCTGCCAGGAAGTGATAGGGCTGAATGCCATGATCTTATTTTTCTTAATGTTGAATTTCAAGCCAACTTTTGAGCTCTCCTCTTTCACCCGCATCAAGAGGCTCTTTAGTTCCCCTTCACTTTTTGCCATTAGAGTGGTATCATCAGTCTTTATCAATAGCATGAGATAAGAGCAATTAAAAGGTAATTAAGTTTGAATGCCCTTCCCTTTAACATGCAAAGGTATCTAAAGGGAAGTCTGTTTAAAGTTAAATACCTTTAAATTGTGCTTTGCTCCAATCACTGAATGGTTCCCCTGCTTGGCTCTAAGGAAAGCCCCCTCTCTGTTGTCCCAGCGCTGTGATGAGCAGGGGTTCTCCACCCGACAAAAAGTGGTAGGCACACACAACCCAGAGCTGTGATCCATGTTTGGCCTGCCAGCCCCACATGGTGCATCACTTGGCTAAGGTGACCAGTTGCAATGCAGTGTCTACGTTTTCACTTCTGTCTACGCTACCAAACTGTCTGTTATGGTTACCTGTAAAGAATGCAAGGAACAGTAGTTGTGAAGGGCACTAAAAACGACAGAACTACAGCTCTCTGGTTAACCTGTACAGAGAGAACAAACAGCTTAGATGGTGGCAATGATGAACATCCATACCTAAATGTCACTTTTGTTTATAACAAATCTTGAAGCAATTAAGGAAAATAAAGTCCCAAAAACCTGGGTGTGTGTGTGTGTGTGTGTGTGTGTGTGTGTAGATTGTTGTTGGGTGGAAGATCCATTTCCTAAGATACTGCTTTTCTTGCTTCTGCAGGTGATACAGAGATTTATAAGCTCACCTTCCTGTCACACCTAATGTATTATAATTTGCTAAATTATACCCCACCTTTCTACATATAATGTCCAAGATTTCCTGATCCTCCAGAATGCTTAGCTGCTATACCTTGACAGAAATTACAGTCCTTCCACTGTTCTCCTGTACAGTGTCATTAAATTAAATCTTTCTAGTATCAGGCACATGTAACCTTCTTTTTCTCAATAACTAGCTTTCTCATTTCTTATCAGTTTCTGTAAGCCATCCTGAGGCTTGTTGCAAAGGACAACATAGAAATGTTTTAATTAAAATTAAATTAAATTAATTAAATCAGTAAAACATGAAATATGTCAAATTATGCATTCGTGACATTTTACTGTACCTGGAGCTGCTATGATTAACAGACTTCCTCAGTCAGTTTGCTTATGTTTGTGAAGAAGAAATCCTGTAGAAATAGGCAGGAGCTGACATTTCCTCATTTTTATAACCTTTGTGTCAACATCCTGTCCACCCCCTTCTTCAACGGTCTGCGGCAAATCTAAGGGTTATTGGCTATGTTATAAAAAAGCATTTACAATTTGTATTTAACATGGTTGCAACAGAAGATAACTGTGCTAGGCCCAAGGAGAAGGCAGGTAGGTTCGTTCCTGTATTGTTCATTTGACACTTTTTATTATATCTGATTTTATTATATCAAGCAAGCATTTGACTTGTGTTTGAAGAGAGGTATGCTGTAGTTCAAAGCTGGCCTGCTGTTACCTAGTCCCCAAAATAGCATCATTGGAGTGCCCCGTAGATTGTGCCTGGAGTGCCCAACTGGTTAGCAGTTCCAAGAAATAAAACAACAACATGCAGAGACAGTGCTGGGTTTTAACTTGGCCACAAATTCTAGGCCACAATCTAGAACTTGACATGGCTATGGAAGGACCTCTTCCGTGGGCGTCTACCTGCTGCCCAATGCAATCCCCAGCCACATGTGTACCTCTGTTCCCCTAGGAGTGGTGACAGCCTACAACCCCTCAGTGGGGCTGCAGCCATGTGGCCCAATCCCCAGGTACACCTTGCCCCATTAGGGAGGGGGGGACCCACCTTGATGTGGATCCATGCCAGTGCCATGCACCTTTCTGCCTGGCCATTAACTGCCTACCAACTTACATTGCTGGGGGAAAGGCAAAGACCTTTGAAGCAAGCCAACCAGGCCTTCCCAGTCCTGCCCACCAGTGGCTGACTGAGGTCCACAATGAACCCCTGCTGAAAGTGTGGGTGGGACAGGCAAATCCACAGAGGTCAGTGGCCACGGCTCCCTGCAAGCAGCTGCTGTGTGGACTGGAGGGAGATCCTCTTGCAGCCTGCCCACACCCCAGCCAGTATGTCACACTGTTGTTGTCCTGAGGAAAGCTGCCACGGCCCCAGGCCACGCTGCAAACCAGAGTTCCTGGGACAGCTGGGGATTCGAGCTTCTATCAGTGCTTCTAGATATTTATATAGTTGGACAAAATTGTCCCAATAAATAGCTCTAATCATCACTGACTGATGTAAATCTAGAGGCTCTAATGTGGTTCCTGTGAACAGAACAGGATCCTCCTAACAGGAAAATATGGCATTTTGTTAATGAAGTTCGTCAGTGCAATGACAGCAAAGGGTTCGTGTTTTTAAAAAGGCTCAGGCTCCACTCCCTACCACAGTTTTGCTGTCATGCTTTCTGCTGAATTCATTTGCAAACTAATTACATTGTTGCACTAACTGCAGCATGAAACTGTTGGCTTATGTTAGTGTTACATAATTAGCACCTTTACTGGAACAAGGTTGCAGAATGCCCCTAAGTCTTCAGTACTCACGTTCTCTACATCTCCTACCCTGCTTTGGTTCTCTCCCAGGGTTCCTGACCTTTTACCATGCTGATTGGGACCAGTGGAACATGCTGGCCAAAGTGCTGAAGAAGGCTGCCCTGCATTGAATTTAGTGCTGTTCAGAAACATAAGAACATAAGAAAAGCTAAGAAATGGTAAGAAAAAGTTCTTAGCTTTTCTAAGAACGTAAGAAAAGCTCTGCTGGATCAGACCAAAGAGCCACAGCTCTCAAGCAGGACGGGTGCAAGACCTCCTCCTGCCCAAGCTGCTCAGCAACTGGTGTGTGCAGGAGGCCACCTCTGGTCAAGGAGGCAGCACACGGCCAGCAAGGTGAGCAGCCACTGAGCCTCCTCCCTCATTAATCCATCCAGTCCCTTTTAAAAGCCACCCAGATGAGCAGACAGCACCACCACCCATGGCAACAAATCCCATAGGCTAACTATACGCTGTGTGAAGAAGTACCTCATTCTATCTGTCCTAAACCTCCCACCAGTCAGCTTCATGGGATGACCTTGGGTTTGAGTGTTATGGGGGAGGGAGGAAAATGCCTACTATTTTAAACACTTCAGTCCTGTCTCCCCTTACTCATTTTTTTCCTAAGTTGTATAGTCCCAGTTACTGTAGCCACTCAACACAGAAGAGCTGTTCCAGTCCCCTTTGTTGCCCTTCTCTGTATTTTTCCCAACTCAATTATATTCTTTTTCAGGTAAGGTGACTGGAACTGAATACAATATTCCAAGTGAGTTCATACTAAAGATTTGTATAAGGGAAGTGAAATTTTGGCAGTTCCATTTTCTTTTCTGTTCCTAAGTCTAATGTCAGAACAAATAACAGAAAACTTTGCCATAAAATGACTGCTGAAAGACTGACACTGTGAGAACAGCTCTAGACCGAAGATTTTATTTATTTATTTTCGATTTATATCCTGCCTTTTTCCTACAAAGGGCTCGAGGCAGCTTACATCATTCTCCTCCTCCATCTTATCCCCACACCAACAACCCTGTGAGGTAGGTTGGGCTGAGAGTCTGTGACTGGCCCAAAGTCACCCAGTTGGCTCCATGGCCACGCGGGGACTAGAACCCGGATCGCCTGAGTCCCAGTCCCATGCTCTTAACCACTACACCACACTGGCTCCCCCCCCCCCTTTTTTTTTAAGGTAGTTTTTTATTTTATTTTTTTTTTATTTATCAATTTATATCCTGCCTTTTTCCTACAAGGGCTCAAGGCAGCTTACATCATTCTCCTCCTCCATCTTATCCCCACAACAGATGGGATAATGGGAATGCTGATCTGATCACAAGTCCGTGTTACAAGTCTTGTTTCTCCCATACACCTTGGGAACGTTAACAGGCCTGACCTGCTCAGGTACAGACTTAGATATGCTAATTGTTGCCTGTCCTGGAAGTTCTCTCTTTGTATTGTCTTAATCCCTATTGTTTTATCCTAGCACGTGCCTCTAGCATGCTGGGTACATGATATCCCCCCCCCCTCCACACACACACAACTGTATATGAAACTGGTAAGTTATAAAAGCATCCTGTAATGATCCCATCTGGGTGGTCCTTCGGGGGCTGCCTGCACACTACATGTACTTCCTGTATATCTGAATAAACTGCAAATGTTCTTTTGATCACATACCTCCAGCACCCCTCAAGGGTGTTTTCCCCCCTTTTGTCACTAGCAAGGGGTTTGCCTTCTTCACAGCAGCTGACCCCTTGGCTGACATTTTCACCAAGCTGTCCACTGATACCCCAAGATCCCTTTCTTGCTTAGTCACTGCTAGTCCAGATCCCATCAGCATATACTTGAAGTTGGGATTTGTTGCCCCCATATGCACCACTCTGTACTTGCTTATATTGAACTGCATGTGCCATTTTGATGTCCATTCTCCCACTTGGAGCTCCTCACAATCCCTTTTGGTTTTAACCACCCTAAAGAGTTTAGTGTCGTCAGCAAACCTGGCACATCAGTACCTAGTCCTAATTTCAGATCATTTATGAGCAGTCTGAAAAGCATTGGCCCTAATAAAGAACCCTGTGGGACTGCACTGGTGACATCATTTCGCTGGGAGAAATTGCCATTTATTCCCATCCTCTGCCATCTTTCCTTACTCAGTTAGTGATCTATAAGAGGACCCCCATTTTTTTAATTCCTTGGCTGCTTAGTTTACATAGTAGCCTTTGGTTAGAGACTTTTTCAAAAAGCCTTTTGGAAATCCAAGTAAACAATGTCTGATGAATTGCCCCTGTCTACATGTTTATTGACACTCTCAAAACCTCCAGTAGGTTGATGAGACAGGACTTCCCCTTGCAAAAGCCATGTTGTTTCTTTTTCAGCAGGTCTGGTCCCTCCACATGCTTACTGATTCTATCTTTAATAATGTTTTCAAGCAGTTTACCCTGAATAGATGTTAAGCTATCTGGCCTTTAATTTTCTGGACCCTTCCCTGGATCTGTTTTTAAAAATTGGTGCTACACTGGCCTTTCTCCAATCCTCTGGTACAAAGAAGATTTGTACCAGAGAATTTAAGAACCTTTGTTGTGATTTCACAACATAAGAAGCTAAAATGGATAAGTATTCTTAAGTGATTGTATTTGTTATATTTATATCCCACCTTTTTTCCTTTCAAGGAACTCAGTGAGGCTTACATAATTCTCCTCCTTTCTATCATGTCCTCACAACAACAACCCTGTGAGGTAGGTTGGGCTGAGAGTTTGTGGCTGGCTCAAAGTCACCCAGTAAGCTCCATGGCTCAGTAGAGACTAAAACCCAGAGCTCTCGAGTCCCAATCCTGTACGCTTAACCACTATACCACATCAACTCTCTTATAAAACTGTGCTCAATCCATTCCTCATATCTTATTGTATGTAATAGTCACCATGGTAAATGTCAACAGACAAGTGTTTTTCCCTCCTGCTTTTAGTGATGGAATTTCAGGGGCTAGAAGGGTGTAATAAATGTGATGTTCTATTCTGGGACAACAACATAATGGAAATGACTGCTCTGGAGTATATTTGAGCTAGCTGGAATGTGTCCAGTGAATGAAATGTACAAGCATTCTTGTTCTCTGGACCACCACTTACAAAGTGCAAAGTATTACTGCAGGTGCAGAAATTGCTTTAAGATTTGGCGTGGCCAGATGGGAGAGGATGTAAAATGGAAACAAAGCAGCTGCTGTGGGTAAAGGTGTTGTTTTTGCTGTCCCTGCAAAAAAATGAAGTGGGATAGATTCAGACAGTTGAAGAGATTTTTCATACGTGGCTGACTGGGTGAAACACTGGTTAAACAACTGGTTCTGTTTCTTTTACTGTTGCTCTCCATATCTGTATACTTATTGCTATTCAGAGGCGGCTGGGGCCCTTGTGTTTGAAAAGGGGCCCTTGAGTTTGCTTCAAGTGCAGGGAAAGATGGTTAAGGCATTTTATGTATTATACAAACCCAGTGGTTCATATCATAAATCTGCCAATCAAGATTTTCTAAGGCTTTCCATAAGAATCTTCCACTTCAAGGAAATGAAAACCAGGCCATTTTCCATAGCTCTATGGAATGAGTTTAACTAGCCAGCAAGATTGTCTGGGAGCCAAACTGAAGAGAAGGACATTATAGTTGAGAAGTTCTAGCTTAATTTTCTGTACATGCCCAGTGAGTGAAAGACTTGCCCTTGGATGGCCTTCTCCTTTAGCATCCAAACTGTAACTGGAACCCCAAGTTGCTTAAGCTTCACTGGCTTGCAACCCTAAGGGTTTTTGTACCCTGATTGTGCAATATTATTATTCTTTTGCTATTTTGCTTGTTACTTATGCATGCTACAACATGTAAGGAGCTGACATGTGCTATAATTACAATCTGACCTTATCTTACCAAAAGTAATGCCTTGTGACAAAGCTTTTGTTTAATGACAACATTAAGATACTGGTGTAAATCCATTAACCTCAGTCAACTACTTTTAAAAAATTCATTTAATTCTGAACAGCCTACTATTCATATAAATGTTCATATAAATATTAAAAATGTTATTTACAAAGAGACACAGCAGAAATAACCATAACAATTGACAATCTCATGTGGTTTTGAAGTATTTTCTTTTTGGAAAGTGACTTGACATCTTGCTGAGTTTATCAGTTGCCTTATGCACTCTGTCATTTTGCAAACATACAGGGAAATGGAAGAAAACCACTCTACTGTATTTAGAAATACGTTGGCAAACTATCCCCATGTTGTGAATGTTTGTACCACTGCAAGATCCTTCCTGTTTCCTAACAGAAACTTGAAATATTTTAAGGGGAACAGAACCTTCCCCAGAAGAGGATGCTTTTGGTTTTGTTGTGCCTGATGAAAAAGAGGAAAGGGTGATCAGCTGCAAACAAAAGGGCACCCTGGTCACTTCGTGCGGATATATCAACAGCGCTGGAAGCAGCAGCTTCGGTGCCCTCCTCCGTAATGTCGACAAAGCACTTGTGGAAACCTTCTGACAGAGCCAGCATTCTTTTCTCTGACATCCCAGTGAAGTCAGCGTGGTTTGCACTGAAGGCATCTGTTAAGCCCATCCCGCTCAGAGTTGACTTCAGCCCATAGTGGCCTTCTAATTGGATCCTAGGCAGATACACATTTGCTTCAACTTCTTCCATTTCTTCTGGGCTAGTCCACTTGGATAAGTTCTCATAAGTTAGCTCCTTTTCTAGCTACATAAAAGAATCAGATAAATAATCTGTTGGAAAACTTATCTGGATTTGCTAATGCATATGATGTCTGTATTTCTTTTTCTCCTGGTATCACTGTTTACAATCCACCCCCCCCCCACTCCTGCCTGCATCACAGGTACTCCATATACATGCACCTGAAACACTGTGATGCTTCCAACATCCAAAGAAGTAGGCTGCGGCTGCATTTATTCAGCAGCAAAAGCAACAAAGAATCTGCAGCGCCACAGAGGTTAACAAGTTTATTCTGCAATAAGCTGCATATGGTGGGTATGGTGTTCCAGTTCCAGATGGAGTGGGTGGTGGCTGATAGCATATGTATTTCCCATGGGGTCCCGCGCACAGACCCTCCTCCCAGTGAGGAAGTCCTAGCCTCCTTTCCCTCGCCACAGCCTTGTGTGCTCGAGAGCTGAATCTCTGCTTTCTAAAAATAATGTAAATAGTACAAATACTTTTCCTTACCATTTCCAGGCCAGTGCTACCATCATTGATGTCTTCAGGGAGCAGTATAAACATGCTGAGTTCATTATTAACATACTGGAGCTCGAGAATATGAGTCTGTACATCATTTATGTAGTTCCAGTTAAATTTATCATGCTGGAACATCATCTTTACTGGTTTACTTGTGGTCTGCAAGATAACAAGTATTGAGGACAACACCACTTATTTTCAGGACCCTTAAACCACAAACATTTTTAAATTATTGGGATCAAGAATATCTCTCTCTCTCTCTCTCTCTCTCTCTCTCTCTCTCTCTCTCTCTCTCTCTCTCTTTCTGTCCAGTTGAATGTGAATTAAGTGTGAATGAGATTGCAGCCTCACTTCCTTTTGTTCATTCAGCATTAACAAATTATTTACCTTGTTCAGTCGGAAAGGCTGTTCTGTCGTATCATTTTTCTTAAACGTCTTGGACCAGTTTCCTCTGAAGTACAGTGCATTAACCAAAACCAGCTTGGTAAGAGAATCAATGGATCCCTCATCTAACAGGTTCTGTACTTTACCTTTCAAGGAGGGGAGGCAAATATGTCATATGTTTCTGAAGCTGTATTCAACTGAAGCTTTAAGAATTATCACTTAAGAAATATGAATTTACATTTTGTCTGGGGCTTTGGTGCACAGATAAGAACATTAAGGCAATTCTGGGTCACATCAAAGATTTATCCAATCCAGCTTGCTAATGTCTCTAGAAAACCCACAAGCAGAACATATGCACAGTACCACCCACCTGCTCATGTTCAGTAGGAAGCAATATGTTGCTCTTGTGTCAGAGACATACTGCTATTAATGGTCTTAGCTCCCGTGAATGTATCTAATCCCCTTTAAAAGCCATCTAAGTTGGAGGCCATCTTGTGGGTGTGAATTCCATAAAATGTCCTTTTATCTGTCCTGAATTTTCTAACGTTCACCTTCATCGCCCAGTGAAGTGAACCCTAAAACAATTGCTTTTTCCCATTCCAGTTTCCCCTTGCTGCTACCTTGCCTTGCCAGTTGTCATTTCCCCATAGTTGAAATGTAGATTACAAACTTCCCTGGAAGGACAGACTTTCTGCTACTCTGGAAATTCCATATGCATGGGTAGATTTGTATAAGCAAAACACTTTATTTAACTTTATGCAAGAATGTGTATTAAACACCTCTATTGAACTAAGTTGCAACAGTGCTTGGTGAATTGTGCTGATAATCTTCAGATGATAATTTGCATGTGGTATGTTATGGAATAATTTTGCAGCATATTTTTCACTCAACTTGCAGTTTGGGTACATGGTAAAGCATTTGGATGCTCCCTTTGCCCATTGCAACTTTAGGAACTTCCAGATGGAGGGCTTCTGGTGCTAACAATAAACATGTATTGTGCAATTATTCCATATTTTTTTCCTTAGAGAAAAGATGAATGGGAAAACACAGGAGCAGGGCTACAAATTGAAGGTGACTACCCTCCCACCCCTAAAGTTCTTTGAATGAGGCAGTGCAATTGCATCCAAGGCACCTGAAACACCCGAGAATGAACAGATGCTCTTAAGTGAAATACAAGGAATTATTTTCCATTTTCAAGAAAAGGAGGCTAATGTTGTGCAGTGCTCATACTAATACATATGATATGAAAGTACCAAACAAGAAGAGAGACCTCTTTTGACAGCAAAGAAAGAGAAGGATAGTGAAGCCTAATCTCTTTCTAAGTAGCAGAACAACCATTTTGAACTCACCTTCTGTCTGGTGTTTGACCCAAGAATTGATCTCATTTCTGATCTCCTCTGCAGCTTCTTGAAAGTTAACTGTTTGTGGTGCTGCATTATAATATTTCTTCACTGACTGTAGGAATTCCTTAAAGTACAATTTTATTCTATTCAGTAGTATGTCCATATCAGTGAGGACAAAAGTTTTACAGTGTAAGAAATTCTATTAGGCTCTACCCCAAGAAAGAACATTAAAATTGTTACCCAATCCTATTTTTATACTTGGTGCTTGCTGCATATTTTCATTCCATAAAACTTGATTTCATATGCATTAGAAATGAGATCCTGCATACTTCATAAAAATATGCATGGGGAGATAGAATGTGTGCAGTACAGCCTCATATTTTTGGTTTGGGAGACTATTCCAAGCATATAAAGATCTTTATCCAATGAATTTAGGTTTGTACCTATACCTTTATCCAAGGTATAGGTACAAACCTTACTCTTTGCACTATCATGGATACTCAATTTATTATGCAATCCATAATCATTGTATTATGAAATCTATAATCACAGAACTATGAACTTCATTACATATATTTCTGCTTACATACACCTTCCTCCAATTGCAAATTGTGCTGGTTTACATTCTCAGAATTAAAACAATTGAATTTTAATAATTTACCATTGCTTTTTAATCACTTACTTTTCGGAAAGGCACTGATGTGTCTCCATATAGTTGATTGACGCTTCTAAGTATGAAATGTTTTGTAGGTTGGTAGATTTCTTGGCTAAGTGCCTGGAATCTTGCATGAATGTTGCTTGCAGTCTCAAAGGGGGGCTTGAACAAAGAAAGGTAGCATTGACTACTATCTCCTCCAACTGAAATTTGTTCTATCCCCAGACCAATCTCAGCTCTATCTCTGTCAATATATCTGCTAACCTTGGCCTTGCCAAGATTCTCTGTTTTGAAGTCAAGCACTTTCCATTCCAACTTGGTACCTGTATATCAATTTTTAAAATGATCCATATGGAAATGTATACACTTTTTGGGTACTATATATATCAATGCACTCATTTCTATGCACATTTACTAACATACACATTTTGAGCACCTGAATCTTGTGACTAAAATGTGTTTGTGTGCATTTGGGAAATGGTTTTTTTTTTAGCATTTTGCTTTTTAAACAAATTTAAGGGAATTTCACACACATCTCTAATAAAATATTAGGATAAAATATTGATTGTATTAGCCATCTTTGTAGCATCAACAGCTCTTCTTCCTTGGAAGACAGGTGCCCTGTTCTTAAAATATTAAATATTGTTTGCTGCAAAGGACAACTATCAAGCTGGGGTGCCCTCACCCTATATTTTCTTGTTGAAAGTAGTTTATATTGCCATTTTGACCAACAAGTTAAAGAAAACAACCTGGAACTAGGTTGTTGATTGCACTAGCTATTTTCCCTAACACATATCCCAGAAAAATATATCCATATACGCTATACTAATTCCTGGTGGCTATATCACACATTGAAGGACCAGTCCTAATAAAATTAAGTATGCCTAAATCACATTCAGTCAAAGTTACATAAGTTAGCAGTTACAGTTCAGTTTTATTGAGATAAATGGGTAAGCACTTAGTCAGAGGTGCACCGGCTTTAGTGGTCTACCCAAACAGTTATGTTTCAGTGAAAGAGCATTAGAACCTGGACCCATGCTGCTCCGTTATTTTAAATTGTACTTATAGTTCAAAGTCCCACACAAATTTAAACAGGAAAAAAATCCTAGAACTCCCATCATACCCCAGGCAGCCATGCTGGGTGGGGAATGTAAAGAGTTCTAGGACATGCAAGGTACTGTAGGATCAAAATAGGCTAAAACAAGTGGTTGAAGCCATCTCTTCAAGCTGGTTTTTAAAATAGGCAAGCACACATTCCTTGCAGCCATGTTACATATTTGTTTCTAAGATGTTACCTTCAGAAGGGCTATACAAGGATTATATAAAAGCTCCTCCATTTTGGAATAGACACGTGGATGTCTTGTTCTATGGGCAATCTCAGTTTTCTCAGCTTTGCTGAAGTGAAACACCTGTAATTCAAATACATGCAAAGTCATGCATTAGACAGAATATTTATTTCATTATTTATTATATTTCTATGCTGAGAAGTAGTCCAAGAGGATACGCATATAACATGTCATGTCATAATACAGGGGCAGTCTCTCTGCCTTTTAACTGGAAAACAAGGGGAAGATCTAGCTAAGTTGGGGCAAAGGATATTAATGTTACAAAATGAGGTTACTAAGCAATGCCTGGAATCCAAATAGCTTCTTTGGCCATGACCAAGGACTTCCATTTTCCCCCTCCTTCAATGGCACAGACACCCATGTTGGTCATGAAAAATCCCCATTGCCTGAATAGGGACACATCTGCTTCTACAGGAGCTCACTGGGGATCCATAGGCCATGCTAACATTGCACACACAGTACAATGGAGCCTTGGTTTAAATGAGGCACTGGGAGTAGGTACAGACAATACTGCAGAAGCACTTTCCTCCTCTGACTTAGCAAGCCTCGCATCTCAATTAAGTCATGGTTACTGTCCTGTATTTCACAATGGGACAGAAAAAGGTAATGGACACACCCATTTTCTGCCATGCACGCTCATTTAGCAGTGTCCCAGTGAGTCTTAATACCAGTTCAACCAGTTCAGCTTTTACCTTCACATGCCAATTGATGTGCGTCTCCAGTATTAATCTTCAAACAAAACAAAGCAAAGCAAAACTGTGCCCTGGTTACTGAAAGTTTGGGAAACATCATTCTACAAGCACACCAACGACTTCCTTTACCGATGGTCATACATGTGGCAGCAGACACAGGTACACGGCTGCTCTTCAATAGTGCAAAGCTTACCTCTGCAATCTGCTCAGCAGTACAGCCTCTGGCTCCCAGGTACACATTGGCCATAACCAATGAAATACTCCATGGAGAAAATAGGACATTCCCATAGCTTTGCGTCTTGCACACGTGTTTGAAAAAATCGATGGAAAAACCAGTGTTGGCTGCACTCAAAGCCTCCATTGCTATTTAAACCTAGTAAAGAGAAACAAGCATTCATTTCAGACTCTTTCCTTTTTTAGGTCCTTAGTGAAGCAGCTCTGGAGCTGTCTGATAAACAGGCAACTGGTCTGAAAGATAACACTTTCTGAAACCATGAATCCATCACCTGAACCACAGGAACCATCAGCCAGTCCGTTTGTGGTTGTTCTGTGAGCAGTGTGGTTTAAAGTCATTTCCTGTCTATAGGCTTTTTCATGATGACCCAGAATGAGGACATGAAAGGACAGTGTTTACAGCAGTGGCTGGCTGGACTTGGAGCAGACCATGTAAGCGCTAGCCTTGACTTCCACAGAACACACAAATGGCCTTGCACATGGGAAGTCTATTGTGCAAGTCAAGAGCAGTTGCAATGTGATTCTAGTGAAGCACTCATCACACAAATGCCTGTTAGGAAGAGAAGAAGCTGACTTCTGCTGAGTTAGGCATTGGTCTATCAAGTTCAGTAGGGGGTCTCCAGTGCGGTGCCTAAAGAGTCCTTGTTTCTGCTGGGTTTTGTGGTATATCTCATGGTTTCTTTCTTGATGTTAACACTGCAAAACCAGTGAAGCATTGTGCTGCTGCCCAACAATATACTTATTTGGGCTCAAACATGTGGGGCTTTTTTCTTTTTCTTCTCTTGGAGCTCAGACCCAACCTTTGTTTTGTACTCAAGTCACTTTTCTTGGGCAAGACATTTTTCATTAGGGCTCATCACTTTGCCTTCTGGAAGAAGAGTCCTAAAGATGATGTAATTGCTCAAGACATATTGCAGCTCTTCCTGTGATGTGGCAATGGCATTTTCTGGTATAGTGTTTGGACAGCACTGCCTTAAGATGGTTCCCCGAACTCTTCACCTTATGACCAGTGACCACAGGGAATGGTGTCTTGTGCACTAACTCTGTCCATTGGGATGTGTGAAGCATCGCTCAGCACGGAGTTCCTGTTAGCATGGTAGCATCGTACAATTCACCATCTTGGGATGCATTTCTAGCACTCATAAATGTTATGAACACTCTTTCCTTTCCGTTGGAAGAGAAAAATATTCCAGACATGCAGAGAGTTCTTTTTAAAACTTTATTGCGATGAAGGGAACAGAAAAGAATGGTTTCCTTCCCATTTTTCTGTTCACCTGAGCACATGTTCACACCCCCCTTTTGAACCCTCTTCCCGGCTGCTTGTTCCCTCCTCCCTTCCCCTAATTGGCTAATAGGGTACTGAGAGTTTACACTCTTTCCGCCCGTCTATTCCGTGCTGCCCCAACGCCGGCCCTTCTTCCCAATCCAGCCCTGCCCCTGGTGGGCTACAATAGGCTCATTTTGTTCTGCCCAGCTTGTCAATAAACAATCAGGAAGTTTGACCCTCCTGCCTACCTGCCTATTTCCCCATACCTTGTGCTATCTGATTTTAGTCCTGACCCATCTTTGGGCTAAGTAATTTTCTTTGCTACCCTTTTAAATCTCTTTACTCCCTTGTTTCAAATCATCCTTTCACAGCTATCATAAATACCAGGTGAGCTTTGTCACAGTTTCTTTCTTGCCGGAAGCTTACTCAGACACACCAGAGGGGTTGTTTCAAGTTCAGTCTGTCCTTGAGAACTAGATCATTAATGAGCACTACATGAGTGGGTTGGGCTGCCTTGAAAGAATTGTGGCCATAGATAGTGTTTTGTCAATTCCCTGTCCATTTGCAACAACCTGTCCTGTCAGTTCTAGTCTTACCTTCCCACTAGTCTTCTAACAAAGTCTCAAACTGTGCAGGCACTAATTACCTGCATAGTTTCACTCCAGGCCATTCTGTACCCTGCCCAGCTTTTCTCAGGTCCTCAAGACTGAAGGCAGGTTCAGCTCTCCTCAGGCATTGTTTGTGTGAAGGATATTTAAAGGGGCAGTGGGGCCAGGCCTTCAAGGGCAGATGGCTCCGTGGTCCAGGTCCAGTGCTAATAGCTGCCTATCAGCTGCCTATCGTGTGTGCGTATCTGAGCTGGTGAACCCTAGCAAAGCAAACTGCTGCATCAGGCGTCCTCAGCCTCAGGCAAGGGGCCCCATTCAGACTACCTGGGGCTCTCTAGATGGCCATGCTGCCTTCCCCTACCCCAGCCCAGCAAACCATCCTTGTCAGGTTCAGACGACACAACAAGCTACACCAGCAAGAGAAATACCACAAACCTGGCGGGCACAAAAGCAGCACATGAAGGGTGGCTAACAAGCCACAGTGGCTTAGCCATCCTGGCATTGTGCAGACTGAGCCAGCATGGAAGGAAATCGTTAGCATCCTGAACAGCAGCACTTCACTTGCAGGTGCCCCTTTATCATTTAATTTCAATTTTATCATTCTAAAGAGCCTGACTTGAGATTTCCACCTTATCAACAAGCCCCTGTGCCTTTAACAGCAGCTCTGTGTACAGGAAGCAGTAGACATGAGCATGAACATATGCTAACTTCTGCATGTGGAACTGCTGTAAAAAGAACTGGAAATAATTTGCAGAAAATACTGCTAACCTGCCTGTACCTTCCAAGTCCAACACTCTGGCTGAGCCCTCTGGCTCCCAGTCTACCCAGCCAGTGTGGCCATTTGGGAAGTCTGGACCAGCCACCACACCACACTCTCTCTCTGGGCCAGAAATACTTAGTTTGGACCACACAACCTCATCGCAGGGGTCCAGAGCATTTTTTAGTCGCCCTTCCCTCTAATTTACATCATCAAGATGTATCAGGGTTCTTCTTTTCATAGGGATTTAATAAAAGCATCCTACTCAAACTACAGATATCCATCCGTGATAATTTCTCTATTAACAAATGAGCTAAAAGCGTGCAGATGAATGTGTATTAATAAATAAGCTATATTCCATGCAAATTAGTGCACAATAGCACATTTTAGGGTACGATCGTAGGAACGTCAGCTGTTACCTTATACATATTCACTTGGAGTAAGTCCCTTTGAATGTAGGGGAACTCACTTCTGTATAAAAGTACACAGGATTAAATTATGAGCTAAACTTCTGTCTCTTCTGTAAGTCAATATTAAAACAAGCAACCTACTGCTACCAGAACCCTCTTAACAAATTAATTGCACATGGAATGACAGCATAAAGCAGAATCCAAAATATGAAAATGAAAGCATGAAGATTTACATACCTCTTTCAAGCCAACAATTTAAGCAGGCACTCTGTTCGCCTTACTATAACCCCAAGTGCAAGTCAGAGCATTTATATAGGTTTCTTACCACTCCCAGGGAAGTTTTCCTGTATGATGCAATAAATTTTTGCCCATGCATTGTCTATGGAAAAATTGAAACATCCTAGGAAAGTGTCTTCAAAAGGGAATGAGAGAATGACATAATCATCTGAGCTGAACGGATGCTATGAATTGCAACAGAAGAAATCACCAATCGAATGATAGCAGTTAAAGCAAGACCGTGGTGTAAAATATGGAGATTGCCTTGTCACCTACTAAATATTAGGCAGTACTTGACTTAGAACAAATAGCAAACTTTTCCCAGAGAGCATAGTAATATGTAAAAAGAGCATTCTAATGCGATCTAACATTAAGAAGTCAAGCTGTTGCTTGCTACTTGCTGGCTGCATTCACACATAATGCTAAACCATCCTGCAATGTTACCATGCAGCACAGTTTCTTACCTTGGGGCCTGAGGACAGTGGAGCTTGTTGACAGCACCAAGGAATATCAAGGACAAGGTAGCAGCATCTTTCACAAGAGGCGAAGTATGGCTGTAAGAGCAGGAGAAATGCATAACAAACTGCCTCCCTAGTAAACAGGCACTCCTGACCGGTCCTTGGGAACCAGACAGGAGTGCCAAGCACGGTCATCTCAAGGCAGCTGCTGCTGGAGGCATCATGGCACAATGCCCTGCTGCTGCTGAGTTGCTAAAGCCACAGGTGGGCAGAGAAGAAAGGGAGGGAGGGCCCGTCACTGCAGCCATCTCAGTAATCAGTAGGAAGATAGTAGCGAATGCAAGCTGGAGTATCTGCTGCAGCCACGGCTGCTCTTGCTGTGAAATGTACTGGTGGAAACATAGAAACTGAGTCCAGATGTGCAACAAACCATGCTGAAATGTGGAAACCAACCATTGTTTCTCTCTGTGATCCCATGGAGACCATCCTTACCATGCTTTACCACTCTTGCTAGCTTCATATGTAACAATAGCACATGCCAAGGTGGTTTCCATCATGGCTTGTCATTACTTTGAGCCTGCCTGCTGTGTTGAATGGATGTGGAGGACTGTGGCTGACCAGTTCTTCCTTGCTCAAACATCTGTCTTTGAGAAATAATGCAACCTTTCCCTATTTCCATAATCATAGACATTTATAAAGCATTTATAATTGAGATCAAATGTTACATACTCAGTACAAGCCTATGCATGTTTACTCAGAGGGTATTTCCACCATGACCAATGGGATTTACCCCCTTGCAAGTGTGCATTACAATTGTTTATGTTTGTCCAAACTCAACTTATATTTGCTTTTTAATAGATCACAGATTGCTTTTCTTTTACAGCAATGTTTGATTTATTGGCAAATATGAGTTGCAACTTAACTATCTATGTTGGCCTTCTTCAACATGTTCTCTTCCAAATCTTATGGATTACCACTTCTAGTACCTATCATTGGCCATGCTGGCCAGGACCAATGGGAGCTGAAGTTTAAAAAGTATTTTGAGGGTGTCAAGATGGAGAAGGTTGATGGATGATCTTCTGTGGAAAGCAAGGAATAGTATTAATGCAGTACCTATTTCAAATCTTTATGCATTGTGTTCTGATAACTTCTGCAACAATATTCCAAACCTATCCATTCCATAAGACCTGTTATTAAAATCTGGGTATTATAATTATAATTTGCCATGAATAATTATATTGGAATCAGATTGTCACATGAAAAGTGTTTGTTTACTTGTTGCTAAGCGGGAATGGAGCCCACATTCCTTTTCAAGTATAGTATAAGTGGCTTGTCTTTCCCAGCCACACCTGTTTTTTCCTCTCTGTCAAACATGATAGAACATTGACTTTCACTATGAACACCTCAGTATGCATTCTCTGGATTCTAGTAATCTCTCTTGAACGCATATTCAAATATGCATTCTCTGGATTTCTAATAATCTTTCACAATATCTCTCAAAGGAACAATGATTCATGGTTATACAGAAAGCTATTCACGTTGAATCCGCAGAAAATATTTTTGTAGGTGTGGCTTCATGAATGCTGCTGTGCTGGCTGGTTCAGAAATGGATGTGCTGGCTGAGTAAGGCTTAGCTTTGATCTCATACTGTTGACCCGCTCTGTGTGACTGGTCTGTTGTTGTTGTTTTTAAAACCTGTCAGAATGTCTGTGAAGAGAGCAGTGCAATGCAGTGGTTTCACTGTGAACCTCACTTACTGTGCTATGCATTCTCCTCTTGGGGAATATAAGTAGAGGCTGCAGGGATAGTGTTTAGTTTCCTCTGGATAAAAGTGTGTTGAAGACTTTGTGATAAGACTCCACATCCAAACAGAAACCAGCAGAATGCACAGGAAATGAGGATGCACTCTGATGGCAGAGTTCATTCTTCTGAGAAAGCAGCTTCCCCCATTTTCTCCAGTTTCCTGTGAAATTTTGCTAGAAACTCTCATTCTGCTAGAAACCCTGATACGGGGCTGGATTGCCCAGCTCTGGCCCCCAAACTCTGATTTGATAGTGGATGCTTGCTCACACCAGGAAAATGCTCCAGGGGTCCATGAAGCTGCTCATTCAGTCCTTCAGTTGAGGGAAAGTTTTTCTGTTTTTTAAAGTTGTCACACTGATCTGCAATATAGGCTCGGAATCAGTTTCTTGTCAGGGCAAACAGGTTTATTTTCAATTGAATGCATGGATCCATGGGTGCCTAAGATAGGAACACCTCATGTTAATTTCCTTAGGGTTATATAGAATACACAAAAGGAGAGTGAATACAATACACAGGAAGGTGCTTGGATACTTTGATATGGATAGGAAAGTGATTGGATACACGTCACAACACCAGAAAGAAAAGTTACATTTCACTCTAAGTAGATGCCTTTGACAGGCCTTCTAAAGTTACCTTGAACAGACTGGCCAAGTTAAGTAAACAAAAAGGTTACATGTGTGAACTTATAGGGTTAGGGAGGCACTTTGGCAAACCCATACAATACAAAGATAGCAATTGACAGTTACCCACTAATGGAGTGGGATCATTTGGTCTTCACCACCAGACACTGAGGCACCCTGTGTGATCTGTTTATAGCAAGGCAGTGAGGTGGGATAATATACCTTGTTTTTCTGTGTACAAAGTTAATAGACTAAATTATTATTATGAAGAAAAGATCAGTAAACCAAGGATTGTTATGCAGATGTTGTTGGGTATTACATGAGCAGAGGTGGTTGGAGCAGGCGGTCAGACTAGATGGCCCAGGAGACCCCTTCTGATGCGCTATGGTTCTATATGTATCACCAGAACAACAACCCTGTGAAGTAGGTTGGGCTGAGAGTCTGTGAGTGGCTCAAAGTCACCCAGTTGCCTCCCTGACTGACTGGGGACTACAACCCAAGCCACTTGGGTCCCAGTCCCACACTTTTAACCACTACACCACACCGGCTCCCACCCTAAGCCAAGGTATGCAAACTGGGGAGCACTTTCTCCCACTGCAACTGGAATCACATTTAAGCCAGAAAAAATTGCTTGTGGACACTGGCACTGCTCATTAACTGAAGCACAGGAAGCTTCCTGAGCAAGAGCTAAATTCCTCGACATGACCATGTTGTGGAACTAGCCAGTCGTGCCAGAATGAGGACACTGTGCACTTTTTCTGGCCTATCTGCATCAGCAAAGCTCAGAGTTTCCATCATGGTGCAACTCAATTAACGTGCCCACCGCCTTTTGACTCCTTGCTGTCTGTGCTGCTTCTTCCCCTGCTCATCTTGCTGTTTCCCAATCTGATGACTTACCAAAGGAAAAGGAAAGTGAAGAAAAGTTTACTAAGTTACTCGAGAGTCATACCCTGTTTGGCAAGTTCCAGTTTCCCAACAGAAAATGTCACTTGTGGATCACAGAAAGCCAAAGCTGATGCTGTTGGATATGGCCAGTGAAACAAGTCATCATGTTATCTGTGTAATGGCAACAGCATTCTGGTAGAGGCATTCTGTTTACTTAAGACCTGGACAATTGTCAGAATTTCTAAATCTCAATTTGGAGTGTTTAAATCTTAAAGGGAGGGGAACAGTAAGGTAATGCAACTGAGGTGAGATATTGGAGGTTCTTTTGAGTGTTCAAAGCCTGTATTGCCTCAGGAAAAATTCTGCATGGGAAGGGATTGGGTTGAAACAAAGGATCCTTGAGCACTCTCAATGGTGAGGCCGTTGGGGGGGGGGATTTTTTTAAGGGAGGGAAACCTTCTAGAAGTGGTATTGTGGGCATGCATGAATTGTTTGTGTTGGCTACCAGGAGTTTTGTATGGAAGGGGAAGGGGAATGTGTTCTGAATTCTGGTATACCATCTTGTGGCTGTGCCACAACACAAAGATTTGAGGAAGGGGGGTAATGGGTGGAACTGGAGCTGTTCGGTTGGGGATGTGTGTGCTGTCAGAATCCCGGAATCCCAATTTGAGAAGGGGGAATAAAACTTGGGTTTGTGGGAAAGACCAAGCGCCCAGGCCATCAGAGGCTTTATTGTATTACCCAGGTTCCCCGCAGGTCCATACTCACAATAATGCATTACCGTGCAGGCAGAGTGAACTCTGCTGCAAAGCTTCAATACCATTACAGGGCATTTATAGGTACACAGGTACAGGGCAATTGATGACAGAATGCAGAGATTACAATAAGATTCTGAGGGCATCACATACAGAACAGATAAAGAAATGTCAGTCAATCACACAGTAACAATGAGATTACAATATTTCTAATTGCCTGTATTGACACTTTAGTTCAGTAGCTTGAACCCATCTCCAGGTCTGCTTAGACATGTAAATTCAAGCTACTGAGAAACTATGCATGAGCTCAAGACTCTTATCTAGACTCTAAACATTCTGAATTGACCAGGGCACATGGAGCCCTGGGCTAGGAAGATACTTCCTTGTAAAACTGAATTCCAACAATGACTATTTACAATGTATATTTGGACTAAATAGCCTGCCTACTGTAGCTTACAGCTAAAGGTGAGAGAAAGGAGTGGGGGAATGCCATTTTAAACAGTGACAGCAAAGAGGACAGGA